GGGAGGGGGGGCGCGGCCAGGGAGGCTCCGCCCCGCGGGCTGAGCTTGGAGGCCAGCAGACCGGCCCACCGTGACGGTACGTAGCCCGCCCGGGGAGCCTGCAGCCTCCGGGCTGAGAGCCATGGGGTGGGAGGTGTGGCCAGGCTGGAGCCCTGGGCCTCTGCTTCCCGGCACTGCGGGAGGAGCGGGGGCCGGACTGCCAGGTCAGGCGCACCTGTGTGAGATGTTTTTAAGGGTAAGTGGATCTGCAGCCCAAGGCAGATCGGGGCAGGAGGAAAAGACTTCAGCTTAGGTGATACTTAGAGGCGACCCAGGCTGCGCAGAGCCGTGAAACCTGCAGTCGTGCTTCTTCCCGGACGTGTGGGAGGTGGTCCTGGAGCCGGAGGCTGGCGAGTGGCCGCAGATGTGCTCTTGCCTCTGCGCTGACCCAGGCCCCCGGGCAGCGCTCAGCGTTCTCACGTCATCCGCCGGGAGCCGGGACGAGACCTCCCGTGCTGCCTGCGATCTTAAACTTTCTTCGGTGGGGAAATGTCAGGCTGGGTTAGTGTAAACTGCAGACCCGTCTCACGAGGTTGGGAAACAGGCTGCCCCCGTTTGCTGTGAGTGCGGGCAGAGCCGTGCCCGCGGAAGTGGTGAGGTTGTGCTGGACGAGGCCTCAGAGACGCTGGGCTTCCGGGAAAGGTCCACCCGAGGTCTGTGATGACGTGAAGAACGCTAAAGAAACAGACCCTTCCGCAAGGGGTTTCCAGACTATTTCGTATCACAGACCGTTTCACGGAACTTTGCCGCTCTACGAAGAAATCACATCACACCGAGAAAGATCTGAAGGATCGGATTGGCACGTGCCCGCGTGCCTGTGGGATGTTTGAATGTACACGGACGGCTCTCCAGGGGGACTTCCTGGCGTCGGGGGAGGACAGCCTGCCGTTCCAGCTCTGGTTAAACCCCAGATGGAGTTGCACACTGGGGTTACTTCTCTGAGAAGCTTACCTAAACCATAATGCAGATGAATATGGCTGAAAACAGCATGTTCTTACGCCTTTTTACATTGAAAAGTAATTTTAGTTAAATAGTCTTTGATGCTAGACTAGAAGTCTCAGCCCCTCTGATGGTTTTAGTGGGAAAAGTACATCCTTCACCCTGGACTTACAAATGGAATAGGAAGCTTATAGCTGTCTTTCAGAAGAGTGTTTACCCTATTCATGGATTGCAGACTCCTGATGGTACGGGGGACGGCAGGCTTTGGAGCCTGTGCCGATCTTCTGAGGTGGCCGTGCTGTTTCTTCCCTGGCCGAGGAGGGCCTGTTAGACAAGCCAGAAATCCCCACAAGTGTCTCTTAGTCCTCAGCTTATAGAAAGCAGTATTTTTTCAAGTATATGGCACCACTGTTGTTTTTTTCACACCTGTTTATACGTCGCTCTGTCATTACTCTTTGAGGAAGGGACACGAATGATTTCTCAAATAACCACATTCAGCGACAAGTGAGTTATCCAGGTAGCTAATTGAAGGCCCTTGGAGCAGTAACAGAAATATGTCCAGTCTGACCCATATTAAAGTCATTCCCCTAATGGAGCCTTCAGGGACAGTAGTATCCCATAATAGTCCAGCGGAGTCTCTGAACAAAAATGAAAAGTCCAAGCAGAGAATGGCTGCTCCCTGGTGACCTTCCAGCCTTTTTTCCTGGTTTTATAATCTCACAAAGAACAGGAGTGGAGTCTGGGCCCTGCCCACCCCCCTCCAAGTTCATGCTTCTCTCAGGTGACAAGGTCACATTCGGTACTTAAGGAAATGTCATTTTTGTCGCCAAATAGCTAGGGAATAGTAAAAGTCTCACGCACAGTAGGCAGACTGACTGACTGTAAAGAAACCATAAAATTGAGCTTATATTTATTCAAGATACTGCATTATTGTAAAACAGAATTTCTCTACTTTTCAAATACAGTTATTTCATTTTATGCCATTTCTTGTTAGATCCTTATATTCCGTAAAGTAATCTGTCACTGCATGATGAGGTGGCTAAATACGTGTTTAAATGGCACAGAGAGGGACTCTGGAAAGGCTGTTTCCTGCTTTAGGGGTCGAGAGTGAAAGTGAGGGAGTTTTTGGGAAGACAGCTTGCAGGTGGCCAGGTGGGCGGGCTGTGCTGGTGTCCGACGGCGCTGTCTGGCTCTCTTGCAGAATTCTCTGGGGTGCTGCACCACTGTCACATTCTGGCTTCCGAGATGGTCCATTTCATCCATCAGATGCAGTATTACATTACATTTGAGGTACGTTTGAATCAGCCCTTGATTCTGGTTGAGATCATCTTGTCTCAGGCCGTCGTGCTGTGCTCCGTAGAAGGTGCTGCGCCAGCTCCTCCCTCAGGCTCTCGTCATTTCCAGGTGCTTGAGTGCTCCTGGGATGAACTTTGGAACAAAGTGCAGCAGGCCCAGGACCTGGACCACATCATCGCCGCGCACGAGGCCTTCCTGGACACCGTCATCTCCCGCTGTCTGCTGGACGCCGACTCCAGGGTAAGACGAGAATGGACGGTCAGCCTGTCCTTCCCTTGGGCTCGTCCCCTGGTGCGGCCACAGCCCTGGTACCCGGGACAGTCTTGCTGTTAGTGTGATGTTTCCCCTCAGGGTTGGAGCAGTAGTGCTCCGGTGAGAACGTGCCTTGAACTGGGCGTGAAGGGACGAAGACTGGTGGCGCCCATCCACCTCCTGGGGTGGCAGCGATGTCCTCGCGTGCTGCTCAGGGGGGAGTCGTCCTGAGGGATGGCAGTGCGAGAACAAGCATTCAGAGCCCATCCCTCAGTTCAGGGGGCATGGGCGGAGGCCAGGCCTTCCGGAGCCTCTGGCGGCAGAGTCAGGACAGGCTGTCTGTCTAGATAAACCCCTGCTTGTTTGCTGACACTCCTTCCTGTAGGCCCTGCTGAAAGTTGCGTGTTCCATGTGGCAAGTCTTCCCGGAGCTTAGATTTTATTCAGAGATCTGGGAAAATAAGGAACACTTTGCTTTCACTTGAGACAAGTGTGAAGTAGGAAGCAAAATTGCAAGTACGTTTTTGACGTTAAATGTGCGACTTTAAAGACGCTTCAGGCTTGCAGAGGGCTGCTTCCCACTAAACCTCCACCCGCTGCAGGGCTCCTTCTGTGGGAACACGCTGCTTGAAAGGGCTTCTGTTTTGTCTGATTTTTTTTTTTTTAAGTAGATAGCTTTATTAGATATTGCCAGGATCCCTGCCAGAAGCGTTGTGTGCATTTGCATTCCCAACAGCAGGTGCATGAGAGTGCGTTTTCCTACAGCCTCCCCAACAGAACATGTTGTCATACTTTTAAATTTTTGCCAGTGTGATAGATAGGTGAGAAATTGTATCATAGTGCTGTTTTTAAATCATCTTTTTAATAACATCTTTATTGGAGTATAATTGCTTTACAATGGCATGTTAGTTTCTGCTGTATAACAAAGTGAATCAGCTATACTTGTCTGATTTTTTTAGTATATCTGGTTAGCCATCCATGGCTGGGAAAACAGGTATTTTGATATGCCAGATTTCATTATTAGAGAATTATTGATCATATGTGCTTCTTTATAGATGCTTCAGATCAAAGATGCTTCTATATAGAATGTTTTATAAGTATATTGAAACAGGGGCACAGGAGTAATTTAAAATACTTGGAGCGTAAGGAGAACTTAGGAAGCGCACACCTCAGGGCTTTCAGCCTCGATCACTGCGCCTCGTCTATATCAGGCTGGCGCTGTGGGCAGGTCCTGTCAGGGGTCTGCCTGCTGACACGCTTATGTTCAGTCCGGGTAGATGAGTGTCCAGGGCCCGACCTGATGGGCTGTGGGCGTTCGCTGCCACCGTGTCCTTGTCCACTCGCACAGCGCGGGGCACTGCGGGCAGGTGGACCTAAGGCTCCGTCCTGCTTCTCAGCTTTTGACCCCGGCGTTCCCGTGTTTTGAAAGAGCACGACACCCCTGTCTTCCCTACATTTGTGAGAATTAAACTGTGTGCTGCTCGTAAGCCGTCACCATAGTGCCTGGCACATGTGAGTTGCTACTGTTTTTAAACAATTAAAAGTCATCTTGTGTGTGTGTGTGTTTTGCAGGGAGATTTACGATCGTTAGATCTAATGCTTTTTAGAAAACGTGTGAAGGGCTGAGGGTTGTCCCCAAGCTGGCGAATCAGGAGCACATGCACCTGCCAGTGGCGGTGTCTCTGCCCATTTGCACATGTGGACATTCCATTGTAAACAGCTAGAGGCCACGCTGCTCATTGCTAAAGATGTCTACGGGGATGAACAGAATGCAAGCGAGAAAATATTTTCGCCTGTAACATAATTTTCTCATGATAGTAAATGTTTACATGTGAGTTGGTCCTGGCTTAAATTCATGGAAGGAGTCGTTTGCTGAAGGCCTTAATGATCTTTTCTGAAATGGTCCGTCTGCTGAGGGTTTTACTTTTAATTTGATGGTTTATTTAAAGTAATCACTAGAGGGGTTTTTGTTTTTTAAGAAACCCAATATATAAAATTAAGGCAGTCTGTTATTGACATAAATTAAATGTATTTTTCTTACGTCACTTAGTAAGAAAAACAAGGCTGTTTGATACACGTAATTTTGAAGTTGGAGGTTGTGACAGGTGTGTGTGTACACTTTTGTAATTTCTGTTTCTGCATTCTTGAGAAAAATCCTGAGTCACACTGTAAATTGTTGCAAACCGGTGTCAGCACAGAAGGCACTTTTGTCGTCGCCCTGTCTGAACAGATTGCTGGTAACAGAAGCACATATTGCACTCTTAGCTTGGAGTAAACAGCAGCAAGTCACCCCAGCTCCAAAAATAGTAAATTTTTATTTGACTACAATAAAGGAACAAACTAGAAGAAATAAATCCTTGTTAAAAAGTCGTCTCCAGTTTTTTGTTTTGATTTTGTGTTATGGCTGAGGCCCCACCAGGAACAGGCAGCTCTGAGCCGAGCGCACTGCTTGCTGTCCACGAAAGACCGCGTGGGTGTTGGCTCTCGTGTTACCTTTCAGCCCCCTGCCCCTTCCCCTCCGCCGGCGTCGTGGTGCTCGCCGCACAGCCTTGGGTTAGGACGCGCGTGGAGCGTGGCTGTCGTTTGGTGTGTGCATGTGAGACTGTGTGCTGTGTTCACCTCCTTCCCGTGCCACACTAGAGAAGGAAAGCACGGCCTGCGGCGGTAGGTGTGTGCCCTGAGGGACCCCGTGAACTAGGGAGACGCACTGTCACCCTTGGTTTAAAGCCATCCTTTCATTCCTGGTGTAAAGCATGATACCCTTTTCTAAAACACCTTGCAGGATTTTTTTAAAATACTTTTTAAAGAATTTCCTCTCATACTCTCCGTGTCTGGTTTTGGTATATGTGCCACCAAAAAAAAAAAAAAAAAAAAAAGTTTTCCCATCCCTT